AGCTCTTGATGGACGATGTCCCTCCTCACTAGAACCGCCGTCCCTCTATAGGCAGCCCCTTGAGAAGTGACCTCGTCCCTTCTGTAGATGTAGTAATTTGGCAGCTTAATGCGCGTTTTTGGATTTAATATTGTTTCGCCCAGCAGTATAATATGTATATCCTGTTGCTGGGCGACTGTGCGGAGTTCATGCAGCTTCTGCTGTATTCCGTCCGGGTTCCAATAGAGGAGGCGCAGATTACGCTCCTCCATAGTGCCGGGCTAGGAGGTTTGCCAGCGCCTTCATTATCGCTGTCACTGGATCTGTCCCGGCTCTTATGTCAGCCAGGACTTGCGTGCCGACCTCGATGGCAATACCAACCAGACGTTGGATTGCATCTGCTGTTTCGAGGCCGGTGGTAGGTGTTCTCCTATAAGAAGGCGTTGGCAATTGTCTCGGGGGGTTGGGGCTCCTGGATTTGCTCTTTTTGCTTGTGGGTAGAGCGCGCTCTAGTGGTAGAGCGGGCTCTATGTTCAGATAGAGCCCTTTCTGGCATTCTACCCACGCTGGTTGTCTCCCTCGTAATCTGCGCCTTAGCGGCTACTGGTATGGTTGGTGTCGGGGTAGAGGTGACAGCCTGAGGAGGCTGCGACTTCTTCCTACTTCCCCCCGCCTCCTCTTCTTGGAGGGTTGCCGTTCAGTGGCAGGATTGGCGGGGGGCTGTAGAGTCGCCCCGGTGGTTGCCCTGGTCGTTGTGGGTTCCACCGTTTTTGGGTAGTTGCGGGTGGGGGGGGGGGCTGGTTGCCTGCCCTTCCCGGTGATGGTGGTCCACCCGTCCTGCTGAATTGTAACAGCTTTCGGGCGACTCTGAGGGGCCTTTTTTGGGGGCCTCCGGGAGTAATCCCGGCAAGGTTATCCCCTGCCTCCTCGCAGTCCTCCTCAGGACTGGACAGCGGCGGTCATTTGCCGTGTGGTTTTTACCACAGTTGGCGCATTTCGGTTCCTCTTCCCTACCCCGAGGGCAAAGGCTTGCTATGTGCTCCCCGGCACAGCGCACGCATCTCACTGGCCTGAAGCAGTTGGCAGAGGCGTGCCCGAAGGCCTGGCATCGGTGGCATTGGGCTGGTCCAGCCTTTCTTTGCCAGGCCTCGATGACGACCCCTCTCATGTAGAGGAGCTCGTCGATGTTATATAATTCCTGGAGCTGCTCCAGGCTCAGGTGGTCCAGTTGGGCAAAGTAGACGCAGCCAGGTCTGCTTCTACGCGGTGGTATTGCCTTTACGTATTTTATGGGGAAGCCTTTTTGCCCTTATGGCCTCCTCTATTGCTTGGGTGTCCGTGCCCATTGGTAGACCCCGGATGCCCACTTTAGTGGGCTTATCCTCCTCCGGGGTATAACAATACCACGACAATGATGGTGTTTTCTTGGTTAACTCGACCATGTACCGCTGTACTGTGCGGAATTCATTTGCACTTTGCGGTGTAAATCTAACGCCTTTCCCAAACGGACGGGCATTTATGGGGTGGCCCAACATATTGTTGAGCTCCTTGAAATGCCTCGTCCAGTCTGGTAGGCATTCGGCCACTATGGGTGGGTATCGGCCCTTCTCCTGGTCGGCTGGCTTCACTGTAGGCGCTGCCGCCGGTGGTGGTCGTGGTACTGCTGGTGCAGCTACCATATGGGCATAACTGGTAGATGGCCGTTGGCCATCGTCCTGTGGAAGCCCGGACGGATTTGTTGTTGCCACCGGCGATGATCGGCCGGCGGATGCAGCAAGGGTGGCATATGTGGTTGACCCCCAACTGAAGGATTCTTCGCCCCCCTGCTCATACTGTGCCGAATCATGGCTTCGCCGATCCGGTGATATGGTGCGGGGGGGAGTTGTGGTGGAGAGGGTGACCTGGGTGGCGATCTCAGCACCTTCTTTGTGGTCACTTTTTGATGGTAATCTTCTTCTTCTTCTGATGAAGCTGGTGCTTCATCGGAAGACGATTGGGAGCCAACCCGTTGCCTCTTCTCATATAAAGAGGCTTCCGTTTCCGGAGGAGTATGTCGTCTCGCCGTTTTCTTTGCCCGCTGCTGCTGGGGCGACGGTTCCTGCCTGACCGTGTTCTCAGACACGGCCGGCGTGAGCGCGACGCCCGGTGCGGGCTCTTTCCGCGGTGAGACGGGTTTGCGTTGGGGGATCTGTGAAAATGAGGACACAACCCTCGTGCGTTCCGGATTCGACAGATCCCTCACAACCAGTGGTCGATCCAACACACCTTTTCGGTCCGGTGGTTTTCTAGATGGGGGGGGAGGTTCCCCCTTTTTCTTATCGGACATAAGTAATCAATCAACGGCCCTGTCTAAAATGAGATATGCAAGATGGTAACTTTCCACACTTTGGGTACTGCCTACACCTTTTGCCAGCAAAAGGGTTGGGGAAGTGCAACGGTGGCACTTTATGACGCGACTAGGCACAGGATGCTCGGAGCGCATAAAGTGCCAAGAATCACCTAGGGGCCGGTGACCTCGACGCCTCACGGAATCACGGGACTCGACGTTCGGCGGAGTATGTCGTACCGGCGGTTAATTGCAGCCACTGTATACTGCAAGTAACGCACACCTAGGAGATCCTTTTTAATTAGGTAGCGTAATCGCACAGAGGGCGCGGATCTCTTTCGCGTATAGCTTGGTGATACATCAGTAAACTGGTTTTCATACAAATCGTAAAGAAGGCTCCCAGGACCGGTCCATAGTGGTGGACCGCGAGGATAACACGAGTAATATGGGCCATACCCCGAGGCCCGAAACCTGCATGGCACATTGGTGCATGTAGACGACAATCAACAACATACAAATCGTTCGGGACCAGCTACCAGTATATAATATAATCAAGAAAGAAAAGTGTATAGGGAAGTGATAGGGAAAGTAATTACTCTCTCATGGAATGGTTTGAAGATAATTACTGTTTTATTCCCCAAGGAATCCTTCACCTTTAAAATAAGTACAGTTCATTAGTGTCGATAGCGCGGCACATATTGAAGAATTAAGGCGTTGGGACCGGGACGACGTCGGAAGACCCGTAATCCCCGCCTGAACCTATTTGAAGAAAAGGAAGAGGTCGACGCCCTTGTGTGTTACTCCGTTGCGGGGTTCACATACGTTGTTCCCGAACCCAACGTAGGTGTAATAGGAGGATAGGAAATCCGCTGCTGAACGAGCCGTGACAAGAACGATCCCTCGTTCCTGTCCTTTTTCAATTGCTCCTTGGCAGCTGGATGAAGTAGCAAGCGACGCCTCGTTCCCGTTCCTTTTCACTACTGTAATAAAAAAAACGTGTGAAATTGAAATAAAAATCCATAGTTGAGTGACCTATTGGTTTTATTTTAATTGGTAAGTATTATTTAGACATAATAAATAGAAAAATTATTGTAAATTCGAGTCGAAATCTGCATAAGTGATCGTGTACAGATGTTGAACGCATGAACTATATACATACCTAAACACTGCCAAGTTTTAACAGTTCGACTATTATTCATTTATCTTTTTTTCATTTTAAAACAACACATGTTACTAAATTTTAGTGAGACAAAGTATGCCATACTGTTTACCTTTTAATATTCCTATGCACATAAATATTTTTGTTTTCTTTGTCCATTCTTGTACAATAAAATAAATAAGCAACTAAACTTATACATTTTAAATAAGAATCAATGTAAAAAACCCTATTCAAATGGCTTCAAAAACTAGATTTTTTTTTTATAGGATAGGGTGACAAACGAGCACACAGTCCACTTCGCTACACTCACCATACGAAACACGGCATTACCACAGATTAGCAAATAGTTTACCAACAGATACATCACTCCCATACAAAAGCGAAAACACCTACGCTATAATAGCCTACAAAATCTTAATAATAATATCTGCTGTTGGCAGCGAGAAGAAAATGTACCATAAATACACGCACAAAAAGTTCAGTTTGTTGCCCGCCGTGCGACTCACGTGCAAGCTCGTCATCGCACAAATGCGCTAGGGTTGTAAATAATATTACGATGATTATTTTAATAAAACGAATGTTGCGAAATATACATACTTTTATTGGTAATCAAATATAGTTGAGTCTTAAAAATGATTTATACATTTTTTCCTTCTCTGAATTCTCTGTTATTACACGCCATCGTTGAAAATATCCTAAATCGCGTAAATAATTTTAATAAATAATCAGGAAAACAGGAGCAAAGGGGAGGAACATCAATGTTTTGTAAAATTTGCAACAAAGTGCTGCCAGGCCGATTCATTATGACGTTGCCAAAATTGTTTAAGAATGCTCTTTCTAATTATTCAATATAATTATTATACGTTTCTAGTGGCTTTTAGCCCACCACAAAAAGATGAATCTTTATTATAGGCTTTTAAATAAGCATATAGTGTTTCCAACTAGGTCCAACCTCACTCATACCCTTTTCACCCCCACTCAACGCCCACTGCTCCCTCGCGGGCGTGCGGCAGCCCAAACCCAATGTCGGTTGTATCGTGGACGATACGCAGAGCGATAGGCATATAACGCGTGGCCTTAAGCGAGTGACGGAGGCATGGCATTACGCAGGTATTACTGTGATAGCGTGGTCCTTCCCAGGTCAAGCCCACCCATTCATGCTACAACCATAATAGCTGCAGCGTGGATCTACCACGTAAATGATGAAACAGAAGAATTATTGAAATCCCTAAATAACTGAATTACTTTTATAATGTATAATTAAATACACTATTAAATTATATATTCTTATAATAAATATTACTTTAATGAATAGGTACACACATACGAAAGGAACAATTTTCACTCAACACTTAAAAACTAACTTATATATTTAGGTTTAATTTTAATACTTTAAAATAATACTGTTTGATATATGTTTACGTAAGTTTCTTATTCATTAAGATTTCTGTTAAAATGTCCCATATGAAAGAGCACTATTGCGGGAAATACAAGCTTGTTAAATTTTTGACCTGAATAAAGAAATTATTATTATTATTATGTTGATGTTTGTGAAGAAGTCGTTTGATTCGTGGTCAGTGGCAAAGGCTCTTCAATATTGACAACGCATGGAGTAAATGACATATTTGATGACAAGTCTTCAGAATCGGGGCGACTTAATTCTTCGGAGTAACGGCTTACATGAGAATACTGAAGTTGGGTATTTTCTTCTTCCATGAACACGTCTAATAATTTTCGTTGAACAAAGATTTTTCTATTTCGTGGCACTTCTTTTAAGTATAGAAGCAAACTCAACAAAAAGTTACGATCAGGATCGTCTGCAGATTTATCTGCTGACCTGGACTCATATAATTGAAGTTTTCTTTTTTTGATCTCTAAATACTCTTGGTCCACATCAATATTTCTCTTTTTCATAAGTAAAACGATGAGCTTGCGTTATAGGTACACGAATAGGTTTGGTATGTGGTCTAGTATGTTGTTGTGACTTGGAGAATGCTGCTTGCTCAATTCAACCCTGCGACAAAGATGAAGGTCCAGGCTGCAAAGGCGCGTGTGTGGGCTGCGACAAAGGTGAGAGGCCAGGCTGCGGTACTGTTTGTGGCTGTGATTCAGGTGAATACTTAGAAAAATAGGAGGACTCCGCAACATATTCCGTTTCTTGGCTGGGAGGTTCAGGCACATTTCCGGTTAAAGTTTTCGGTGTGATTTGTTTCGCCAAGAATAATAACGATTCTTAATATATCCACGAAGTTAATTTGTGATCCGCCGCAGCACCGAATCTACCTGGTTCATTGCATTTGTTATATTCTTTACGGAATTGGTCCCTTAAGTTGGTCCATTTTTTTTAATGTCTGGAATCGCTATATCCATTTCCGATCCAACTTCAGCCCACAACCGTTTCGAAACATCTCGATTATTGTAATTTTTTGAAAGTTTATCCCACAGGGTTGGTCTATTAAAAACACAACTAATTAATTAATTAATTTTTCAATATCCATAGTCGTTTAGGTGTATAAGAACGCTGACAGAAACAACAGAATAAATACAGAATTATTAAAATAATCTTTAAATACACTTAATTTTCTCTGTAGACGCCGGCAGTTAAGTTTGTTACTATTTGAGCGGAGGGCTGCGGATATTAATATAACTGAGTGAACTGTAGTTTTTACGTGGAGACGTCTTGTTTGTTTTGCAAATATTTGAAATTACTTCGCCAAAGAGCCGTCATCGAGAAAAGCTGCTTTTTTATAGAAGAGGGGGGCATACGAGCATACGGTTCACCTGATGTTAAGTGACTACCGCAGCCCATGAACAACCGCAACACCAGGGGAAATGCAGGTGCGTTGCCGACCCTTTAGAAAGGAGTAAGCTCTTTTATTGTAGGTGCCCAGGTCGTATTTGTCCGGAAAAATCGCCGGTGGTAAATTATTTCACAGAGAAGTCGTACGCGAAAGAAAACTCCTAGTGATACGTACAGTGGTGGACCGCCAAGCATTCAGATGGTGTGGTTGGTATCGGAAGGTTTTCCAAGTAGTGCGTTCATGAAATTTGGCAGCTGGGATTATTCCGAACAATTCCTCAGAGCACTTCCCGTGATAGATGCGATAAATATGCAAAGAGATGCAACATCTCTTCGCAGTGCCAGTGAATCAAGCCGATCGGAAAGCACTCGGTCGTCGACGATTCAAGCCGCTCTGCGCTGGATGCGGTCAAGTGGAAGGAGCTGATACTGGGGAGCCACAGAGGTGGGAACAGTATTCCATGTGCGGCCTAACCTGCGCCTTGTAATCTGCTTGGGATCCTATAATTAACAAAATTAAATCCAAACCCAAGCACAACACTGCAAGACTTCAAGATACTGTAGGCTCGTTCTGCGTAGATCGGAACGAAAATTAATATTAAAAAACTGAAGGTAGCCGGGCTAACCATGACATTGGGACGTCAAATATCTCAGTCCCTCCCGTGACCATGGGTGAGGTAAAGCACCCGAAACGTCGGGATTTAAAAATAAGTAAAAGTAATTATACGCGATAAAATCCATAACTATAGTATTATTCAAGAAAATATTTATTTCACCACATAATCAGAAAACCTTTTCTACATATAACATTTCCTAATTTAAACATTATGAATTAATATTACTAGATGTTGTCAAATGTGAAGAAAATGGATTACATTCTGAATATGCGTAGTGTGTTTTATAGTGGTTCTCGCTTCGCCTCTTCTGAGTAGTACGAGCAGAAAGGAGCTTACTCCTTTCTAAAAGGCTGGAAACGCATCTGCAATCCCCTGGTGTTGCGGTTGTTCATGGGCGGCGGTAGTCACTTACCATCAGGTGAGCCGCATGCTCATGTGCACCCTTGTCCTTAAAAAACATCTTTTGTCACATTCATCTACGAATGCATGCTGGTCTCTTATTTTTGTAGAATATGTATGACAAACGAGCATACAGTCCACTTGATGGTAAGTGGATGTTGTGGCCCATAGACATCTACACTTATTCTCAATTAAGAAATAAAATAGAGATGCGTTGTCATCCCAGAGGACTGAGATGGTATACCTCGTTTTGAGTAAAAACTCTACACTAAACATAAGAAACACAGCAGCATTAAGCTGCCATTTTACGCTGGTATTCTGTGAGAGCATGGTTCCACCCAAGGCAAACGAACCCATCAGTGCTCCAACCATAATATAGCTACAGCGTGGCTCTACCACGTTTAAACTTACACCTAACTTGGTCTGTCTTCAATATATAGTCAATTTGGTTCATAAACTTCCGTCTAGGGCATCCCTTAGCGAAATTACTTTTATTTTATTCCTTTAAGCCTGATCATAACATCTTTTTTTTTCATAGTATAAGGGTTAAAAGCGAGCACACAGTCCACCCGATGTTAAGAAAATCCCATAGAGATTTACATTTATTTTCAATTACGAATCAAAATGCAGATGCGTTGTCAGCCCTGTGGACTGAGATAGAATGCCTCATTTCCAGTAAAAAGGGTATCCGGTTCTCTACACTCACCAAATTAAACACAGCACCATTAAGCTGCTATTTTACACTGGTATTCTGTGAGAGCGTGGTCCTTCCCCGGTCGAGATGACCCATTCGTGCTGCAACCACAATATAGCTGCAGCATGGCTCTACCACGTAAATAATATAATAATCTTAAATAAATAATATTCTTGGAAACTCCACTTATCTCTTATCATACAATTACTTACCCTATGCACTACGGCGGGATTGCATTCTAGATGCATTGGTGTTGGTACACGGGTAGAGAGTATTGATGGAATGAGAAATAGAGTACCCAGAACGACGATGGAAATCAGCCTTAATGTTGCGAGATCCCTAAAGTAGGACAAGCCTATGTGCGGCTGGGTACTATGACCCAGTTGGGGCCGTAACAGCATCTGCTTTCGCTAAGGGGTTCGAATCCTGCATGGAACAAGTATTTGAATGATATTCATATATTTTTTCTGAATGTTTGTCCTTGTGAAATGTATGCTTATAAACTTTTCTTTTCTCAATAAAATTTTATAAATTAAGTTAACTGGCTGATTAAGAAAAAACAATACTTATATAGAACTAAATCACGAAGGACTGAGTTTTCGTTTTCGATCATCAGGTAAATTATAACCTGACTGAGTACAAAAGTACAATAATTGAATTATTGATAAAAAATTTATATAAGGATGTTGCATAGCTTTACGTTTTCTATCGTGTCTAGTGTCTACCGTGGAGAGTGTTCTGAGGGATTTTTCGGATTAGTTCCTGGCGGCTGGAACTTCACGAACGCACATCGCGTCAAAATTTCCGATACCATCCTCACCATCTGGATGCGTGGCGGTCCACTACTATAGGTTTTACGAGGAGTTTTCCTAGTCGTACAACTTCTCTTTGGAATTGTTTACCACCAGCGACTTTTCGGGACCGATACGACTTAGGGACCTTCAAGAAAAGAGCTCCATTCTAAAAGGCTGGCAAGGCATCTGCAATTCCCCCCGTGTTGCAGTTGTTCATGGGCGGCGGTAGTTACTTACCATTAGTTGACCCACATGCTCGTTTGCCCCTCGTCTATAAGAAAAGCTTTTCTTACATACATCTAAGAATACATGCCGGTAAGGGGCCTCTTATTTTTACAGAATATGGATGACAAACTAGCACAAAGTCACACACACATAGCAAATAATTGTGCCCCATAGACATCTGAATTAAAAATAAGTAAAAGTAATTAAACGCGATAAAATCCGTAACTATAGTTTTATTCAACGTGTAGTGTTCGCGTAAATTAAAGAAATATTTTCTTTTTTTAATTACGCCATACTCCTTATCTTATGTCTTTATTCATATTATACCAGAAATAAAGCTTATGCAAAATTGTACAGTAGTGGACTGGATCCAGATAGTATGAATAGAATTGTAAATTTAGTCGCAACGGTATTAATAATAAAATTTCCTCAGATCGCTGCCCGTGGTAAATACGAGTATATTAAACTATTTACGGAATTCGAATATTGATTTATTATGAATTTGATATGCTGGCCTACGTATCCCGTAGGCCACTTCCTTCCTTAAGTGTAGTTGGATGATTGATTTAAGGGTCAGTAAGGGTCGGATTTTCGGCTACTTCAAAATGTGAAGAGGGTTATATTGATTAGGGAGATGACGAATGTGCTTCTGCATTTCTTAAAGTAACTTATGGATTCTATTAGAATAATCTAATAAAATCCATAAGCTAAATAAACCAATTACGGATTACATCGTTTAATTTATTTTTGCTTATTTTGATTTCCGATGTTCCGCGTGTTTACTTACATCACCAAAGCAGCACCCATCATTGTGACCATGTGTTCCTTGTTTACTATATACGTATGAGCTATATACTTAAGTTTCGAAATAAGTTATTTTTGCGTTCATTTCTAATCATCAGGTAATTGTAGCATAACTTAAAGCATAAAAATATTAAAGCTTATAGTTGTATGAATAGAAATCCTACTCATTCTACATTCAATTCTATTATAAAATGGTTCAATTATGGACCTCATCGAAATTTTCAATTGTTTACGTATTATTATATTCATAAAATTTTCATTAATATTCATTTTTTTTCATTTGCTTATATAAATATTTTATCAATAATTCAATTGTTGTACTTTTGTACTCAGTCAGGTTATAATTTACCTGATGATCGAAAACGAAAACTCAGTCCTTCGTGATTTAGTTCTATATAAGTATTGTTTTTTCTTAATCAGCCAGTTAATTTAATTTATAAAATTTTATTGAGAAAAGAAAAGTTTATAAGCATACATTTCACAAGGACAAACATCTAAAAAAAATATATGAATATCATTCAAATACTTGTTCCATGCAGGATTCGAACATCATAGATGTATGTGACAAAAGATGTTTTTTA